TTACACACAAGAGTATGCAGGGAGTCGCAGAATTTGGCAAAAGGCATGGTAATAGGGAGGCAAAAAAGAGGGTTCAAATGGCAAAAACATACAACAGCGGGGAATAACTATCACAAAGTTCCTCAATTCTTCTGTATTTAGTAAGCCTACTAGCACACAGTCCTGTGTTGTTGGCTTGCTCCGCCATGCACTAGCACGTAGGCGCTACTGATAGAGCAGCTGTCCAGCGCTTACGTACGATCCTCTGAATGGACACCACAAGCATGGGGCACTCCACCTGTCATCTCCTGGCTTTTGCGCTCGAGCCTTCCTATCATAATACAGTACATCGGCGCCTCGCTGTAGGACACGATAGTAACACAAATCGGTAAACGCGAGCTCGAGTTACAGAAATGGATGAACCGTCATTGGTGGTGGATAAGGCGCAGTGTTAGTAAGGATTTTGTTTCCTGAACTCGGAGTCTGTATAGGCACACTCCAGCAGATCCAGCATGCTTGACACCGAATCTTAGCCTATCAGCCATCTATTAGAGAAATTATGTTCTACTAGAAGTCCATCTTGTAGAACGGGAAGGAGTAGAGAGCCATGTGTTCTGTGTATAGTTGTCCAAATTCGCCGGTACGCTGCTTGTATATGACTGAATGGACGAGAAGCCCAACCAGACCACCATTCTATTCCCAGCATCTTGAATCGATTACTTCATATGTGGCCCTCCCCCATACATCGAGATTTGCAAGATTAGGATCGATCGCGTCATCCAGCACCGTCATCGGAAAGCGACCGAAGCTGTGGCAGGCACAGTGAGCTTTCAATAAACTGTACTCAGCATATCCCACCACAAGGTCTTCATCTTGCTCTAGCTGCTCTCGTAGAGTCTCCATCGAAAAATACCGCGACGTCCAGGCAAGTCCGTCGTTAAGACGTCGATACGACAGATATTCCGCTTGAACCGAACACCATAATGTACCAAGATCTTTCCTCCCATAAAAGCAGAGCGGAATGTCGTTTCCATAGGTATGTTCGTCTGCCAAATACTCATCAGGCTCAGTGGATCCCATAAAATGGGCATCATCATCACTCGACTCTGAGTCGTTGTATTTGTTGCCGACCTGCTCGACATGCGCTGTCTCACAACGACGTAGTACGCCGGCCAGTACAGTCCATCCTCTCCTGAGCTCGGTATTCCAAGTCTCGAATGCTGGTACAGATTGAATCTCCTCTGCAAGTCCTGCAGCCGTAAGCTCCTCGTGATCACACTCAACGATTGAGTCAAGTGATAACAACGCAGCGACTGAAACATCGGCTCGAACGGAAGGGTCAAAGCCGTGAAATATGAGGCAAAGAGCGCACGCTAGTATACCAAATAGATCTTCACCGTTCTTTCCCTGGGTAGCAAGATGGTACGCCGTCATTACCAGACTATGCAAAGGTTGCAGTTGCAACTTTTTGCCACAGTCAGTACCGAAGCAGCGTCGGATGTATAATCCACTTGGTGTGTCCAGTAGCAGACGGTGTGGCATACGCCGGAACATCCGGTTAATGCAGTGACATATTGCCTGGATTGATGTATTGCAGAACCTGTGTTTCCAGCTAGACGGTATCGATGGACAGCCATGGGCATGAAGCTGGCGTACGCAAGGGGAGTCTGCATCCCAACGGCCACAAATATCGACTTCTTCTCCGATGAAACGTGAGACGTCTTTGAGATTATCGTCTACAACAACAGGTTTTGCGCTTGTGTGAGACTTGATGATCGTGATCATCAGGTTGTCAAGTATGGTATGACCATGCTCATCCAGGTACATCTCAGAGACATGGCCTGGATGGACAAACTGCGAGACCACAACGAACACATCGCAACAAGATTTAGACCCATCGAGGAAACTCGTTGCTAGATGAAATGGATGCACTAATGCTGGATCGATGTGTTTGGCCCGTAACTGCAGGAAGACTCGCTCAATCTGATCAAGATTTCGACTCATGATGCTGAAACCAAGAGACTCGACGAGCAACTCGCTCGAACGTTCCTCGTCTGCAGCTTTGGCAATCTGTGGAATCGCGACAGGGAGATCTGCGGCAGGGGTAGGGCTGAAGTCATTGTGTTCAAGCGCATTTCGCAGGTGCGCCTGCAATGAAGCTTGCTGCTCACTTGGAGACCATGCTGCCCAGGTGGTATCGTCATCAGGGTCGGGCTGAGGAAAGGCTCGGGGTTCAGATACGTCTTCCGGTATCGGCTCATATCGCTGCTCATGCACATGAACGTACCATCGACAAAGATCCGAAGGTGGCGTTGGCTCATCGTCGCTATGTGGTGTGGAGCCGTGTGTCAAATCCTGGGGCGTTCCTGGAAGACTAGAACGGCCTGTGGAAAGATACTGTTCGAAGTTCAAAAGCTCCGCCGTCCATATCCTTGGTCCTTTACCCCAGTGTTTGGCGGTCTTGAAGCAAAAGAACCAATACTGGTACAGCCAGTCGGACAAGGCCCTACCATATTGTCAACTCAAGAAACATAGCACGGCTTTCGTCTTACCTTCTCTCTTCTCCATTCAGGGCCTTCAAAAGCTTCTCATGGTGACCTTGTGCAAACATGCCGGCTCTTTCAACCATCGTGAGCTTTTTCGTGAGCTGGATCGTCGGTGAAGGTGCATCGTTTGGGGACGCGGCCGATGAGGGGGTGGTAACTTCGATGTTGCTATGGGGCGTTGGTTGATCGAAGGGCGACGAATGATCGAAAGGTCGTACGTATGAGTGACGTATGGCAGCGTAGGGTAGGTTCCATTTGAGGAAGCTTTGATGTTAGCACACGAGCATACAATCCGGCCGTTGGCTACTTACAAACTGTTGGTGAATGGCAGCACGTGTCCGTCTACGGTCGTGATTTGGTTGCGATTAAGGGAGATTAATCTTTCGGTTTCTCGCATTTCTTCTTTCATCACCCGTCTCACCTTCTGACGATCAACTTGCTTCCCATCGATAGCGACTCGAGTGGAGAACTTGCCGACTGCAGCACGGCCTTTGTAATGCTTCATAGCTTTGATGATCTCACTCTTGCGAACGTTCTTTGACCACCCCCATTTTCCAAACTGGGTTTTGTATTGGCGCTCACTATGTTAGACTTGTCAGCTCGTAGGTCCTCTCGCCAAAGACAGAAAGGGATATGCCTGACGCACACTCGATGGAAGCTGTGCTTGTTCCTCATTTCCTCAACAATGTCATTGAGCTTCCAACCTTCTGTCAGCCAGAGGGACTCTAGGGTCGGTTTTACATTCTCCCAAGGATCCGCGGATCCTGACGCGGCTGAACTCATCAAGGGCAAGCACACGTGGATGTGACAGTCAAGCCGGGCGCAAAGAAGAAGAAGAATATAGATATTGTAAGGACCGCAGCTTGGCCGGAAGGAGAGAGGCTGTCGAAATCTCGAACTTGCTGCATTGTGGCAGGCTGGCTTATCCCCTTCTTATGGCGTTCTGGTGCCCTGTCTGGAATTGCTGACACGTGCCACAGCCAAGACGAACAAAAGTTCGACAGCCAACGGGATGACGTTCCCTGACGCACATTTGTTCTGGCGCTGCACAGGCTAAAGGTGTGCCAACGCCTTGTTTGCCTGCAAGAGTCCTCCATTCTGAAACCAACACCGATCGGCGTGCCAAGTCGAGCAAAGGTTCACTGGCCAATGGCCGTGATGCGGGCATGACCGGCGCTTGAGCGGCGACGCGTAGAACGCCTAGCGAAGCAACACGACGTTAGCCATTGCGCTGTGGCACACTGCCCATCAGTGCCTGCTCTCAGCATCTCGAGGCTCTCTGTTACTAATTCCGTTACCATTGTCCAGGCATGAATGCCGCGAGCGAAAGAGTAGGAAGCACCGCTTTCCCTCGCCAGACGAGCGGCGGCCCCCACCACCTATCTCAAGTACATCCTTTCCATACTTCCGATAAGATAATAAGAGATGCTCTCACTAAGGTGGATCCACATCGATGAGGATGGAGCTTGTGAAAGCTTAGTATCGACCCCGGACGTTACATCCCTGCGCACCATCCAAAAGCCAAGCTGAACAAAAGTTCTCTGTCCAATGTAAAGACTCGGATTTTGTGGCTTTCCTGCAAGGGTGGTCTACCAAGATGAACCAAAGTCGGCAGACCAATGTGCTGCGATTAAAATCAGGCTCTTACCGTATTCAGACAGCGAGATCATAACGCGAGACACCCGCCACCCTGACAAGAGCATGTTAACACATAATGACCCATGTTACTCTAAATGCATCACGCATACTCGGGCCTTCACCAAGACTTGCTCCAGGACTGAGAGGCTGACCTGTCCTTGCTGCGCACTCCCCTCCCACCCTCAAGATGTATAAAGATGTCTACTTCCTGTGCCTCTTCGTTTCCAGACATCCCATCATCTCTTATCCAGTCAAGCCTTTGCCTCGTTCGCCGCCAGCGTCACAATCCAAATCACTCCATACACCATGGCTCAGCAAGCTACTTCGTCGTTAGTACACCCTCATCATTCACAACCTCACTGTCTTCTCTTACTGACCAACGCATAGTGGTACAGTCAATCTACCTCAGCAGAGGTCAACCGATACCGTCGCACTCTGCCCATACCATATCAGCCTCTTATCTTCAGCCTCCAACACGTACGCAAACAACATGAATCCGATGGACCGCTTCTTGGCCGAAGGGTCTGCAGAACAAAGTGCCATGTTCATTCGTTACGACAACGGCGAGCCATCGACGAAGAGGAAGTGCACATGCGAAAGGGCACATAACGCGAAGATGTGAGGATCGGATACTAGTTGCTACTCAGTTGTACAAGCATAGTTTAGACTTGCACTTTGCTACTAGTTTGGGTTGGTATGGAGTAACTTTATATGTACATTGAGCAGGACTCGACGTCAGCTGCCAAAACAAGAACTCGTTGATAGAGACCGTATACAGATGATACATATACACTGCGCTCAACTCCCTGAGATTTCGATGCAGACAGCCGTGACGCTCTACAGGACATATCTGAAATACATATTCTCGCCATCCGTCAAGTCCATAAACGCCATCTTGTCTCTTTCTTCTTCGTCCACGCTCATCGTCTCTCTCCTCTTGTTCTCCCTCTTCAACACGGCGTATAGCGCGACCGCCGACGCTATCGTGATACAGTAACAGATGATCAGGCCAGTCCATAGCCTAGGGTAATGCGCGCCCTTTTCTTGACTCCTGATAAGCAGTGGACCGACGATGTTGCCAACGCAGTATGCAACGAAGACTGTGCCGGCCATTGCACTCTTCTTCGTCGCGCCGCTGACGTTGGACATGGCTATGACGATCGTTTGGCTAACTACTGCGCCAAAAGTGCCGATGATGCTGTAGCCAGCGACAGGCGTAGGCGCATGATACGTCCACTCCGACTTCCAGATCATGGCGCAGCCGGCTATGACGGGAAGGCAGTTTACTATGAGTAGAATGATGCGGATGTTGGGTATACGCGAGGAGAGATATCCGCAGAGGAGGATCGTAACGAGGCAAATCAACCCAAGAGGAAACTGCCAGAGTATCGACGCGAGAGGTGACCAGCCGAATGTGTTTACGATTAGAGGACCGAAACCAGATACCGCGCCGTTGACGGTGTATGCGGACCCCATGAGCAGGAATACGAGGTAGAACTTGACATCTGTAATGCATTCCCTCAGTTGATACATCTTGATCTTCTGGCACCGCACGCCCGTCGCGCCCTTCCTCAGCCGCTCAACAGCGACAACGCGTTCGCTCTTCGTCAGAAACCACGCTTCAGCGCAGGAATTAGGTATAAAAAAGCAGAAACATCCAAAGAGGAAGGTTAGGCAGCCAGCGAGGAGGTAGATGTACTGCCAGCGTCTCAGCGCGCCAGAGGTGATCTGTGCGAACCCGTAGTTCAGCGCGCCGCCGATGATGGTGAAGAGACCTGTGGAACTGAACCACCAGGACTGCCGAACGGATTGCTCGCGCTGCATGTAGTAGCTGCTTACTATTGTCATGAAGCCTGTTGGAATGATACTCTCCACGAAACCTAAGAAGAAACGTTGGACGTACAGTCCCTTATAGTCCGTAACAGCGGCTGTCAACATGCAGATTAGACTCCAAAACAGTACGACGGCGCCAAGGATGCGGCCTAGGTTGAAACGCTGGAGAGCGAAGGTGAGGGGGTAGAGGCCGGCGAGCATGCCGAAGTAGAATAATGAAGTCGCCCATGAGAGGCGTGTCGTGGAGATTACTGCTGGGGAAGTCGGTGTAGCGGGGGAGATGGTTTGCGTGAGATGTAGGTCGGTCGTCATGCCGAAGAGTGCGGCAGAACCGAGGATGGCTTTATCGTAGTATACTAGGCCATAGCCTAAGTTCAATTCGTTAGAATATTGTTTGATGGGGAGATGATGTGTGAGAAGAATGGGATGAATGAGTACGGTGATGGTCGCAGTGTTGGTGAGCTATACATACCCACGATCATGGCCGGGATGAGGAACCAGTCGATCTTGCGAAGAACTTTTGCTTCGATTTCAGGATCGATATCTTGGGCGTGTTCGCCGACGAGGTTGATTGCTATGTCTTTGTCGGTTGATGTATAGGCCAAGGCTGTCTCGGCGTCATGGGGAGATGAGGCCGTTGCCTTCTCATCTGGTTGTGAGGCCGCCATATTCGAAGACATATTGCGGATGAGATCGCGCAAGTCAGAAGAGACGATGAGAGGTCTAGAGAGAGATACAAAGTTGATGATTTCGCATCGCTTGACTCTACACGCACGGCTTGGATATCCACGGGATGCCGCATAAACACTAGCGTCACGTCAGTTCAGCATGCCAAACCTCTGCAAGCTGCAAGCGAAGCCGGCGGCCAATCCAGGACCCTAGGCACGCCATCTGTGCAGAACTATGATTGGCGGGTGCTGAGCATGCCGCGTGAACTGGCAGAAGTTGGGATGAATTGCGCGGGTTGAATCTAGGCGCTAGTATCCAATAAGCCTAGTGGCACGATGACATAATCGTGAAAAACTTTCCCTTGCTCACGCCGCGCTTTCTCCCGCCTACTCTACCCAACCACAACCGGTGCCACCATCACCACGCGCGTGTGAAGTTTGTGTACTCATGTTGTACACACTCTCTCACAGGTACACCACCATCGCAGCCTTCATCAAAACGTGAACTGACGCGCGCATCGACGCGAAGCTTTGGAAGCCAAACGCGCGCGCTTTCGTAGAACGGTCTCTTGCCTCGCTCAATCCGCTGTTCCATCAGCAGATTTCGAGCTGGATGCACACAACACTTTCTCTTTTCTTTCTTCGAGGAAAAGAGGTTGTGTGTATGAGACAAGAGTAAATGCGACGATCTTTGAGTACGGAACCGCCTGAAACCATGTGTCGGACCTCTGTAATTTATCTGTCGGGATATATTTTGTGTTGTTGTGACTTTGCATCGACAGCTAGACACGTCACTGAGATGTCTGCGTGTTCGAACCATTAGCCCGTAGAACACATTGTTGAACAATCGTTGGATTGAGGTGTATGGTCGCGCAATGTCATGTATCTGCAGCGCTATACTAAACGGAACTCTCTCGGCTCCGTGTCAAGATGCATCTGTATGAGCGACGAATCTGAGAATGGGAACAACGATGAGCTAGCTCCGACGACAGTGTATTCCGCCCGATCGGACGCGATGACAGGACGAAGTAGCCACGGTGTTGGGGCTCCTCCCAATCCCACTAGTATATCTCCTGTTTTCGGTCTCTCATCTTGTCTTACTAGTCCTGAGATAAGCCCCTGCGACGTCACCGTCCATGAGCACTTCGCGAATTCCCTAAACAGACTGAGCGCTGCGTCGCTGTTGGTCGTCCCGCCTTGACTGTTCACACATGGTAATCTGGACACAGAGTCTTCGTAAGCTTCTAGAAGCTCAGTGCCTGAATACCCATGTGCATGCAGCGTCACATTCTCCTCCGCCAAGTTATGGCATACTTCCCTCATCAATGTATTCTTGTCTCGCATCTGTCTCGTGCAGACATCCTCCAGAAACTTGTCCAGAGCATTCACGGTGTCGTGGATCTCGTCTTCATAGATGGTACCAGGACAGAACTCTGATACAAGCACCACTTCACCCAGATGGACCCCTCGTAGGATGCACACCCAACCACCTTCCAAGATACTGATGTTTGTTGGACTGGGATCCACGCCAGATCCAGCAAACGAGTTCACCGAACGGAAGTCTGGAACCCAGCTAGGTACCCCTTCGAGTCTGTTTGTAGCACGAGGAATGATAGAAATGTCGCCTGTATGTTCCAGAATAGCGATACTGTATGCATGGAAGACATCAGCAAAACGATGCGAGTAGTCCGGTGCGAGTGCGCCAGGGTGCATTGTGCTACCACCGATCGAAAGTATGCCGTATATGTAGTCATGAGGGACTGCTGCTTTCAAAGCTGTGATCATTTCTGATAGCGCCTTCCTTAATATATACGCTAGTAGTCGGGTCCTGAGAGCATCTTTCGCAGCCATAGGGCTCCCACTCGAAGTTTGTAGTAAGTTGACCCAGTCTCCAAAGACGCTTCGCCTAGATTGGTCCATGGTCGTCTCGTCACTTTCAGGTACTAGACCACTAGCACTTCCATATCTTCGTTCATCCGCCGGCAGCATAGGAGATCTATCTGGTTCAGTTGTAGGTCGATGTTTGAAAATATTCTCGACTTCCGTGCGAACTTCCATATGAAGTGAGTGGTAAACAATTAGCCGATTTTCAGTCTCTAGATCTATCTCGGCCAGTTTTCGTTTGTAAACATGGTCACAGATAGTGCTGGCGATTTCTGGAAGATGATCGAAGTGGCACCAGTGGGAACCTGCTAGGAGGATGGCACACCGTGCCCTTGTCATCTCCTGTACAACCCATACTCTTTGGTACCAAGCTCGCTTTGCAATGTTTGACAAAGCGTGAAAGACGTTCAGAAGCTTGGTACTACTCAATTGAGCTATCGTTTCCCCGATTTGGAGCAGTTTTTCGGACCACGGTCCCTCAGAGACATCGACATCCTGGACTAGATTCATGAGTTCGTCGATATTCGCATCACTTTCTTCGTTCTCTCCCAACCAGGCTACCACGAGCTCTGCAGCTCCATAGATCGCGCCCATCCGAGGTACCTGTGCCGACTTTTCTGCGTTATCTGACTGGTTAATGCACAGCGCATCGACCCAAAAGAGTTGATTGCGAAAGATATCAGGTGCGCGGCAGGATTTCGCAAGCAAGGCCGCCCTCAGTTGTCGCAAACCAGCAATGAGATTGACAGTCTTTTGTACTGGCTGGTCGTCGAGCTGGAGCTCCTCTGTCTGGTTTGGGTCACCCCATGCATAAGATAATGCAACGAAAGGTGGGATTTCGGTCGCAGTCGATCCTTCTTCAGGACTTTCCGTCGTGTCCAAGCATCGTGGGTCATACAACTCTTGATGTAGCAGTTTTGGTAGCGGTCTACCCGAAAACCATGCTTCCACCACGTCGACTTCAGTGTTGGGGAGCGGTTGGTATACCAGCTCACATTGAATAGGATCGGTCCAGGCACCGGGTTGAATCCTCACGAAGCGGACTTCATCGCCTTCGAGCTTCCGGTAGATGTCGGCCATGTTGCGATCATGTATATCAAATTCGCGTGGCAGTACGAGATTACAGGGTGTTGAGAGGAGTGTCGACTATTGTCACGAGTCCATGGCGGTTTCTCATGAGGAGGGGCAACGTTCGGCTTTGAGGCTGTGCCACACGAGTGCATGATAGCACATGACGTACGCAGCGCGTCGTCGTCCAATGGCCTACATCTGCTGTCGCAATACCTTTCTCTAGACTCTGGTAGCATCTGCTAATGCTGCTTGTGGCAAAGCACCAGAGCACGCTTTCTGTAGAGTAATTTTAGTTAACAATCTACCTTATGCAAGAGAAACACCAAACACTCTATAGCCTACGTTAACATTAGGCTAACTACTTTGCATGATTATATCTTAATGTAGGCTCTGGAGTGTTTAGATTTTCCCTTGTATAAGATGAACTAGCTACGCAGCCGTGCGTTTCTCCGACGGATTGACAGCCCTATCTTGACGTTGGACTACAGGATAAACGATGCAAAGGGAGGAAGCTTCGGAGCACTCGTAATCTTCAAGAACTGGGAATAATAACGAAGTCGAGTACACTCGCTTGGACAACGGCTGTTACGCCATCTTGGGAACTCCGAACGCATCGAGCACGATGCGAATGCTTCGTGACCACAGGACAGAGCTGGGTCACCGCATCGTCGAGAAGATCGTGGTTTTCGGTAAAGAGGGCCTTACGATCAACATGGCAGACGCATGAAGTATGGCCATCCTTCTCTCCGGTCGTCGAACCCCTCCATCTCGAATTCCCGGTTCCGTTAACTCGACTCGCCCTGCCTATTTAATCACACCAGGAAGGAAAATGCTAGGAACCCAAGGAGCTGAGCACCCTAGAGCCTACATTGACGTCATGCCACCTACTTTGCATGCTTTGATGTCTATGTAGTCTCCCGACTTGTTCATTGTTTTTCTTGTATGAGGTGCTGCTGGAGAGGAGGAAGAGCTGGGGAGGCGCCGCGGGACACAGGACCGGAAGAATGGACCCTGGAGCACCGTGCATGCCGCCAAGTCTAGCGCCTTGGCGGGAGGCGGGAACTCTCATGTCTGGACGCTCGAAGGTGGTAGATACCTTTATACTTTGCGCAACAGACCAACGCCGCTCTGATAAGAAACTTTGTATGGTCGGCACAGGTTTGATCGAACCTCCATTTTCGAAAACGCGTCTGATGGCATGCACACTCTCGAGAGCGCTCGAGAAGGAGAATCCATGTCAACTCCCCTACACATCTTGGAAGGATGGCGACTAGATCGCAGCACTGCAGATGATTACTCTGAACGCCCCACCGCGGCTGACGGCACGCTGCGAAGGATGCTCTCGCTTCGCCTAAGACATGCTGAGAGACGGCATCAACAGCCCGGGTAAGTACCTAGGTAGTGATACCAGGGTATGCTCTTGGTTGGGACGATCTCACGTGTCAGTACAATGCGTCTTGAACATCCCCGATCCAAAATAAGAGTTCTTTCCCGTCATGTTCAATTCACCACCAGATACATTCGTACCCTAGCATCATGAAGCTCTCCAATGTCTTATCAATGGCTTTGGCCAGTACCACCGGCGCAAAGAGCGTAGGGAAGCCTAATGAAGTAGATTCTCTGGCCGCCGAAAGTCTACATCGAATGCAGGCCTATTACTCCGAGAACCCATTACCGACCCCGGGGACATGCACACTGGATAACGTAGCCGTTCGTCGAGACTGGTGAGCGAGATGAATACCATCACATTCTGCTCGAACTCACACACTGCAGGTCAGCTTTAAGCAAACAAGAAAGACGCAGCTACATCAAAGCCGTAAAATGCCTAGCGAAACTGCCAGCAAAGACACCCGCTGCCATCGCCTCAGGAGCAAGGAGTCGATATGATGATCTCGTCATCACCCACATTCAGCAAGCGTTCACAATCCATGGCACGGCCAACTTCCTAACGTGGCATCGGTATTATACGTGGGCTTTTGAACAAATGCTCAGGAACGAATGCGGATATAAAGGATACCAGCCTTATTACAATTGGTACGTAACTGTCTTGTAGAACCCGCGAGACCCATACTGACTTCATGTGCCAACATCAAGGGGCCACTGGGCAGACAACCCAAAAGCCTCACCCTTCTTCGACGGCAGCGACACCAGCATGTCAGGAGACGGCGCATACATCGCGAACAGAACTTCAGTCTGCTTCCCATCAACCGAACAATGCTATATTCAGCTACAGCCCGGAAGTGGAGGCGGCTGCGTAACCTCCGGTCCGTTCAAAGAGTATGCCACACCCTCCCATCTCTCCCCGCTCCAACAACGCCCATTGCTAACACCCCCTCCAGCTGGAAGATCAACCTCGGCCCCCTCGCCGCCGTCTCCCTCCCCCCTCCGACCCCAAACCCGCAACCCGACGGCCTAGGCTACAACCCGCGCTGCCTCTCCCGCGACATCTCGCTCCAATCTGCGTCCGAAACCCGGGACTCCGTCTTCGCCGCCCTAATCAAAGATAACACGACCATCACATCCTTCCAAACCGTGCTCGGCGGGGAATTCGCTCAAGGCAAAATGGGCCCCCACGTTGGCGGCCACAACACCATTGGCGGCGACGCAGGTTCCGATTTCATTAATTCGCCTGCGGATCCGGCGTTCTTTGCGCATCATGCTATGGTGGATCGGGTGTATTGGACGTGGCAGAATTTGGATTTGGAGGCGAGGAAGGAGGCGATTGCGGGGGGGACGAGTGGGGTGGGTGATCCAGGGGAGGCAGGGACGTTGGAGGATGTTATTACGTTGGGGGAGTGGGTTGGATATGGGAATGTGACGATTAGGGAAGCGATGAGTACGGTTGGGGGGCCGTTTTGCTATGTTTATGTCTAGGGGTGGGTATTGCGCTGCTAGGGCTTTGCTGTATGAAAGTCTAATGGACGAGGCCAGGTCCTGTTACCGAGATGAGAAAAGTTGCAACACCCGACTGATACCCAGCGTCTCGATAATCTTTTCGAGGTCCAAACCATCATACCAACCTTGTCTTGACCTCCCCCCTTCAATCCCATCCTCTCACCACCCCCCATCCCAAGGAACCACAACCCCACCTGCGCTGCTCGCCTCAACATCACTCAATCCATTGAACTCCCAACTAACATCCACGCCATGCATCTTCCTAAACCTTGTTCTGGCATCCTTCGTCACGGGATCAACCTCGAGCTCATCCGGAAAAGTCTCAAGTAGCCTCTTGACAAATCTCTTGCCCGGTCGTACTATAGTCACAATCTTGATCTCCGGGTTGGGCGGCGGTGGAAGGGTCTCAGATTTCGTTGTCTTAAGCGAGCTTCCGGCATAGCTAGAGGAGCCGGAGGGCTTAGCGGAAGTGTCATCCGCACGCAAACCAGTGATTCGATCAGTGACTCGATCGGGGGCGACTTGTCGTAATTCGCGTAGTCGTGTGCTAAACGATTCGGTAGGGGTGATGGAAGTGGAGGATACGAGGGATAGCGCAGACGGAGGGGGTTTGGTGTGTAGGACGTCGTGGAGTTGGAGGCAGAGTGATGTGACGACTTTGAAGCGGTTGGAGCGGATCATGCCGGAGTAGAGCTTGTTGGGGTCTGTGCTGTTTGTGCTGTTTGTGGGGGTTGTAGGTGGTGGGGTTTGTTGAGCGGGCGGGTGTATGACCTGAACAGTAGGATTGTCCTGTTGGGCTTGGAGGTGTTGTGCTAGCGGACTGGGGTTTGGTGGGTGGTTGTGTTGGCCGTGGGCGTGCGGGGTCGACATTGCTTGTTGCTGATGCTCCCCATGGCCGCCGATGCCTAACGCTCCCTGCATGAATTGCGGGAACGGCATCGCAGGCGCCGGTGGAGGCGGAGGCGGGACTTGGTTCGCGTTGGCAGGAGTATGCGCATGGCCGCCTGTGCCACCGACGATTTGCACGCCGGCGGTAGTCATGACCTGGTTTATGGCGTTCTGGACATGTTGCTGTAGGGTGTGTATCTGATGTCCCACAGCATGCTGAAGCGCCTGTGGGTGTCCCGCTGGTTGGGGTCCGAGCATTGGGCGTTGAATCCCAGCCAGTACGCCTGACATGAAGTGTGGACACATTCCCAATTTGAGGAATACCCAGAGACTCTTCAACTTAGGCAGATCACTCCTTAGGCTCCTCTCTTGCTTCTTGCTTCCCATATATTCCGTCCATAATGGCAGGTCTTTGTCCTTTATGCGGATGTACACGCTCGTTATGTTTGCGGAGGCGGGCGACGTGACGACGCGGAAGATGTTGCAGTCGCTGGGATGTGTGAACAGGAACTTGTTCTGTGCATACAAAACGATCACGGCTTCGTCGTGAACCTGCCTGTTGGTCCGGAGGAGGTTCACGCTGACATGGCGATGTTTGCTGTACGCGGATTGGGACACGGCACCGGGCCACAGGAACGGCGTGTTGGAAACCAGGGCATACGTGTAGACGCGATCGCGGAGCTCTCTCGGCAGAGACAAGAGCAGTGAGAAGCACGGATCGGGGAGAACTTCGTGGGTTGGCATCTGGGAGGCTGAAGGCGTGGGCAGTGCGGCGCTACGCGAATGCGAAGGGTTGCGGAGGCGCGCTGGGCGGCTGGCTGATTGCGGCGGCGCGTCTATCATGGTGGTGTCGGAAGAGCTGCTGCTGTTGGAGGAGGAACGCGACCGCGAAGGTGTCGAAGTGCGCGAGGCCATCTCGTCCAACTTCGGACGGGCGCTTGCTGATAAATAGCCTGCTAGCCTGTTTGTGGGGCGGCGAAGCGATACGGCGGACGGTACGGGACGTTGGGCGTGATGGTAGTGGTACCGTGTTGCGCGCGATTGGCGAAGCGGGGCGGATGATTCAGCGTGCTATCGATGCCCAACAATGGCAGATGGGGGCAGAGAGGTCTTATAGTCCTACGCGCCCTACGAGGCCGAGATTGAGGGGAAAGTGTTGAGCGGCTGTGACCTGTGCCTCATTCCTCCACTGCTGTGATCCCATCATCGTCCAGCCGCTCACGCTATCGCCGAGGCTAGACCGGTGCCGATCAGCGTTTGCACTACCCAATAACCTGCATCATCATCCACTATAGCTATCCCAAGAACCGCATGTGCTCTTCCATCTGTTTTGTCTTTCCACATGACCGATCTCTCTTAAGAAGTATTTCCATGCTATCGGTCCTTCAAAGGTACATCATTTGCCTGGTTAGCTGTCCCGCGGTGATGAGCGGGGAACCGTCCTCCAGCCTTACGCGCATGTCGCGCTGTCATACAACTTCAGAATCTTATTATGACTCAATCGCGAGATCATGAGTGCCGAAACACTATGCCTCAGCTTGGGCTGTGGAGAATTTCTATGCCACTCATTACCGCATTGTTGCAACGCGATATCGCATCTATCGCAACCTGAACCACTACTGAACTCGACACTAGGGTTTGCAACCTACATCAAAGTGGGGAAATAAAAGATATGCTCCCTAAATTTAATGCAGAATCTAGGGTAATTAGTTTTTTATTTGAAAAAGATGTAATTGCACGTCAGAAGGAGGATGGATCTTCGACAGGTCGTACTCAATCCAGCTTGGTTGCAAGCGCTGGTGGCGGCGTATCTGCTATACACGAGCTCTTCCGTTCATCCAATTCATACTGCGCAATGGCATCGAGCGCCTGCCATCACTTCAAATCCTCGAATTCGACTCTCTTCTCGAGAAAAGATGCCTGAGGCAACATTCAATACACCGGACCGTGCCGCTGGGGCTATGTGAGCGGGGCTTACAGCACATGAGGATGGATGCACATGTGCTGCCTATGCGAACGATTGGATGAGCGGTTCGTTGGCGCCTGCATTGTAATGCGTTCGAAGAGTATTCGATGAGACGAATGCTGTGTAACGTGCATCGTGCTGCGCCTCTAGGTACTCACCTGTTAGCCCAGTCGTTGCCAGCCTTATTTATTTGTGCTCTCTCCCAGCCTTTCTACTGCAAGAGTCTCATTATTGAGACTATCTCGCGTCTGCAACGTTTCGAAATCACAGAATGGCGGATCTGCAAGCGCAGTTGGAGTGTTTGCAAGGTGTGTGGGACATTTGCCAGACGAACGATGATCAGAAGCATGTTTTGATCAAGGTAAGTAAGCCAAGCTTCAACGATCCTCCAGTCATTTACTTCTCACCTAGGATTTGTTTGCATATGTGGACGATCTGTCTGCTCGGTTGTCAGAAGCCGAGTACGAACTTCGTGACAGGAAAGACGTGATCAAGTTGACACGCAATCGTATCGAGGAGGCCGAGAAGCAGATCCAAGTTTTGCGGGATGAGAAGGCTCGACATGCCTTCGCATCCGTTCTGATTGATGGTGATTGTATGCCGGTATGTCCACTCTCAGCATTCATCGACCCTCCCTAATGACTACTCTAGTTCAACGATGACCTTGTGAAATCCGGGCTGGAAGGTGGAAAGAGAGCAGCGGGCTTACTCAAACAAGCTGTTGATGGAGAACTCCGATCGTCTTTACCTGATGTAGCCCGACATGTTCAAGTAACCATTCGTGTTTACGCGAACATGAAGGGCCTGGCCAAGACTTACAGAGACGCGGAGGTTCTCCCGCAGATAGCGTCGTTTGACGACTTCGTACGTGGTTTCAATATGGGCGATCCCATGTGTGATTATGTTGATGCTGGCAACGGTAAAGAGTGTTCGGATGAGAAGATCAAGGGTAAGTCATGTGTCACCCAGACGATACGCCAAATACTTACGGCTCGAAGCAATGTTTCGGCACGATCTAGCGGATATGCACTGCCAACAGATACTGTTCGGCGGCTCAGCCGACAATGGCTATGCCCGGCTGTTGGGCCCATGTAACGAAGACGACGTGGTCAGGAGCCGAATTACTCTCTTGGAAGGCCCGCCGTTCGCCCGCGAGTTAGCTGCGATCAAGGACAGATACCACACTGTATCATTCGACAAGGTGTTCCGGAGCCAAATGCTGGTGGTCACCCCTAGGCGCGCAACGGTGTCTCTCCCGACTCCGCCGCGAACACCATCTGCAGACTATGCAATGGCCGCTGCGCAGATTCCAACAGGGCCTTCTTCATCTTCGTCTAAAGCGCATAACCCCGCAGTCACCAAGCAGCCTACCACAACTGCTACAGTACTTCTGAACAAATCTGGCGAACGTGTGGACGCACCGCTGACCTATACCTCCAAAGACTTCTTGTCGATGAAAGGTCGCAGGCTCTGCAACCAGTTCTATCTGCTTGGGAAGTGTTCTTACCTGGAGAAGTTTGGAAATTGTCAGCATCCACACAATGCTAAGTTGAGTAACAAGCAGTTGGTGGCTTTGCGAGCTGTTGCTCGATTGACGATGTGTCAGGATGGGAGGGCTTGTAAAGACTCGGAGTGCCTTTGTGGTCATCAGTGAACGATGACGGTTATGATGTCGAATTCAGGTTGGGTTACATGATGCGAGTGCTTCTTGTAGCGGAATTGTATGGAGTTCGCATCATGTTCGATTATTATCAGTCTTCTCAATCAGGCGCAGTCATACATTGATAGGTTCTTGATACGGTTTAAACCTGAATTCTGTGGGTCGTTGTTTTCACCTGTGTTCTCCTAACATCCAAGATGATCAGATTATATGGTAGGTTTCTCTTTCGCATCCTTCGAACCATCTCTCACTAGGGATTGAACCAGGATCTTTGGGAGTCATCCCGACAATCGTAACAACCCCAAGACCTACGCGCTCGAAACGACGCACCGTGCTGGCAGCGCAAATCCGCTCAACCAAGACTAGACATGCTATTTCCTTGTCGGACGTATGCACAGGAGAGAGGCAGAACTGATCTGGTTCTCCACCTGCGCAGTCGAAGAAAACATACACATGGTCCTTCTCGAGTGCGTCTGATGTTACTCTGAAAGCGCGTTTGTTCGGGTACCTCTGGTCGAGATACTTATTTCCTTTCACAAAGCTTCCTTTGTGCACTCGTCGTAGCATCCCTGAAACCTTCAGAGGATGGTTTGCCCACGGGTCGAGGACTTTGCTTTCGATTGCCTGGAGTTGTAGGCTACAATCTCTCAGTTCGTGGTATTCCCATGCTTTAACAGTCATTGTGCTGTTTTGTACTGGAACCCCCCAGGAGGCCCATGACCATGAGGAACATAGCCTGGATTGACTGGTTTCTTCAAGTACCGACAGCTTTATCTGTTCTTCGGGAAACCACATCAGTTCGTGCAAGAACTGCTGTGAGCCATCATCCCAATGGCCATCAAAACAACGGAGCCCAGTCTGTTCTTCAATGACTTGAATGATGCCCATCAGAGCTATCAAACGATCAGTCTTGTTGGTGAGATGTCTGGTACTGTAGTAGCGAATAAAATCCCTCCAGCTTGGGTAGAACGAAAGGACCGATTTTCTTGTACTCTCTGTAGAGCGGATGACATTCGCATTTGCGACGGGCGTTATTCTGATGCGGGAAGCGGTGTTTACTGTAGACCAGAGATATGACGGCTTCAGAGTTGCATCTTTAGGGAAAGGAATCGGATCTTCGCGTTCTTCCCCAAAGATGCCTGCCTTGCATTCCCAGTACACTTGCGAAGAGGCGAAGTGAACAATCCGACGCGAAAGTATCTTTTCTTGTAGTACCCAGCCACGCAAGTTGAGCGGTGCATCGTTAAGGTCGCTTTGAGAACTCCACGACGCATCTGTGAACCACACGTGTCCTTTGCCTTCATCCGCACCATCGCAGGGGAATCTGACCCAATTGCTTATAGGACGGATGCTGTCCAGGCCACCGTTCCCATCCGTTGCCGAAGTTGCAGCTATGGTGATGTAGGCATTCGTGTAAATGCTACCCATCTTCTCCGATTCGTCTAGCCAGTCATCTTTGTTGTCTTGCACGATGCACAACGAATCGATCCAGATGTATTTGATATCCAGCCGTCTTGTGAAGCGTATAGCATCCTGGAAAGTCTTTGACAGAGTTTCAAAGACAATTGCTTCTTGATGTTTTCGGACGTTCGCTCTCAACGTTCTGACTTGTGGCACGTTACCCCAGCAATGGCTCAACGCGACATAGCGATTGCTTTGCTGTTTTTGGGTAATGTGGAGATGCGGCTGTCGGACATCAGAGCCAACATCAATAACTCTGGAAGGCAAGTATCGCGGCGTCAATCCTGGCGTCAGTTCTGACGTCGGTTCTGAAAACTGGACGGGAAGGTTCTGACAACGTGTGTGTGTTTCGTTGCAGTTCCTGATTCGCCGCTTAATTTTCTCGAACGTAGCATCCGAAAGATTGGACGATGGTGCTCGCCAACACGGTACAAATTCGGACGCGTATGAACCTTCCAGGTTTAAAATCAGAGGTGAACGTGCAGTGACAGAGGGAGGGTGTTATGTACCTGGTTCTGCATATATGCGGAGCTTCCCTTTGATTATACTGCCTCCATTTTCGTATCTTGAAACGCGAACTTCGTGGATTCGTCTCCCAGTATACATGTCGCTTCCCGCATTGGGGTCCTCGACCCTCAACCGAAGACTGATCTCTCCGGTCAACTGACTTTCAGGATCGATGGAGTTGAAGACTAGTTTGCACATGGTGCAACTGTTATGCCTGTATCGACCATAATCGACCACTAAATCCTCCTCTTTGTAGATGTCTGTTTTCAAGAGATTATGCAGTGTGATCTTCTTGCAGGAGCTACAAGTTCCTTTGGGAAACAGAGTCGGCTTTACAGTTGTTGGTTCCTTTTCCGACATACTGACTTCGTTCGGTGGTGTGTCGTTCCTGGGGGTTCTAAAGCCGCGAAGACGGGGTCAAAGTGAAAGTTTCCAGATTATGCGTTGAGGTCTCTTCCTTCCGCAGGGGCTGTACGTTGATAAGCACAGCCTTGATATAGTGGATGGCCTCCTTATAATATGCTGTCAAACCAAGGCAGCTGAATAGGTCAGCTGAGGGGCCGAAGGAACCTTCAGCTCACCCGTCATCTTACCCTGCCGTGTCCACCTGCCAACCAATCAGCTTAACTAAGTTTTTCACCGGAAATGATAGTGCTTTCCCGTTGGATAGCCCAAAGTCACGGCGCCCTCGTGTCAGACCAGTGCTCGAGCGTCCTCCATGTACCGAGAGCTTCCGAATGGTTGCGCGCCTAACGTGAGGCTGAGCTATGCAGTGTTGGAGTGGTACCAGGCTGTGCCGCGTTGCAGCTACTACCCTGACCTAGCGCTATCCCAAACCACACGGGCGACACCACTTGAGCAAGTGCGAGCGCCAAAGTCCAACCTCAACACAGCGGCACTCCTTCGAAATCACCACGCAATCCACATCCATACTCTGTCGCTAAACTATAGAGCATATACTCTATCACGTCTCCTCCACATATCAACTCCCACCCCCAACAAAGTTCATGCGTCCTATACCTTTAGAACTCCTAGCCTTTTCCAATCTCCAAATCTATTTATTACCAAAGTTTATAATCTTCCACATACGACCATAGGACACTGAGAATTAGGCTTCCCGTCCGCTCAGCCATATACAAGCAGTGTACCGGCGGATTAGTAGTTAGGTGGGTGACCACTAGCGAATCCCCGCTGTTGTATGTTTTTGGTATGTGGACCATCTTTTTTGCTGCACGCCAGCCTAGGAAAAAACTAAACAGCCTAGAGCCTACATTGGCGCTAGATCACCGCCTTTGCAAGGTTCTGGCTTAATGTAGCCTGCAGACCTGTTCAGTTTTTTTCTTGTATGAGGTGGCTGGTGCTCGTGAGCCTTGTGGTGAGGATGGGAAGGGGTGAATGTACGAGCGTGTACGTGGAAACGCGGTGGTGGTAGCGGTGGTGAGGGCTTAGTATACTTGCGAGCAGACGTAGGTTTTTGCAAAAGTTTCTTTGTTAGCTTAGGTGTACGTAAGATGGTAAGCGACGGTGAGATGACAGAGATAGGGCAGAGAGGATAAACGTTACGTTGGGATGTAGCTTCCCGTAGATAAGTCTTGATCCTTAACACTTGGTGTTGTATTAACATCACGATAGAGAACAACACACATCACCACATCATTAACAGTCCATCACAGCAAACACATCAGCATCAAGTCTACGCAGTAATCATTACAACTATAAACCACCGGCCAGCAAGTATATCCATTCCACAGCCACAAGACCACTTCAAACATCAAAGTAGTCAAAGTGGTATAAACGCCTATTTCCAATGTTATGATTGGGAAGTTGAAGCCCCGAAGGCCCCGAAGGGGAAGAAAGAAGGAAGTGAGTGTACAAAAAAGGGGGTGGATGGGAATGAATCTATTATTCTCCTTGGCTAGAAAGAAAAAGCTATAACAGCTTTTTGCTTTGCCTTACAAGACTTTTGGTGCTACATGATTGGGTTGTGGAGAGGGTGCTGTGCGATTCGGGTTCGACAGGGGGGATGCGCATTGGTGCTGGGGTCGGGAGTCGCGGGGTCGGGGTGCTGGATACGTTTCGTGTCGACTTTAGGCAAATTCGGGATGACCGCAGCCACCTGGAGTCTTTTCCGCGGGTGGACGATAGGTTGAGACACCATTAACCAATTCCCAATGTCCAAAGCGAGTGGCGTGCGTCGAAACGACTCCGCCTCCTCCTCCGAATCGGGACGCATGCGACGACGCTGCTCTATCAAGGATTTCCGGGTAACTGCGAGGGACGTAGACCGATGAACCCGGGGGAGCGAAGTTCCGTGCGCGACGACATTCTTCGAACGGATGGGCTCCGTACTGTGCTTCGAGGTGCTGGGATACGCGAGGGGGAGCTAGAACCTATGCTTTAGCCACATGCTAGACGGTACCTCCAGAGAGGTTATCCAACATCTTGGCCAACACAAGGTTCAAGCAGT